GGTGAGAGGTAAGGAAGAAATCTAAAGAAGTGGAAAAAAGCAACACCAGCAGCCAACAAAAGGCACTCAGGGAGCCTGCCAGTGTGGGTGGGTGGAATCCAGGTGACACCTGGGTGAAGCTGGTGCTTCTCGGCCAAGAGACTGTGGCTGCAGGAAGCAGAGGAGGCTAAGTGGGGGTGAAGAAGGGTGGGGGGTGGGAAAGCATATATCGCTCATTACCAGTTGTTCTGTCTCCTGCTAGAAGCTCTGTGAAGCTGCTTTCTTGTATCCCATTTGCTGATCTCCGACAGGAGTCCAAGATGGCAGATCCATGCTGTGGTAGCTGATAGGGGACCTCTGCATGTATCTCTCCTTGCTCTCTGTTCTTGGTCAGTTTCTTATTCCATTCACTGCTTGGCTGAGTTCTTTATCTCTTCATTTGATGCTTAGGGTTTCAGGACTGACGTGTGACTCTGTTTGACTTAGTTTTTCTAATCTTTGATGTGGAGGGACGGCATGGTGCTTTTGACAATAGTGCTATGTTGCCCAGAAGTGCCCACAAATTTTTAATATAATAGAGTTTACGGGGAGTTGGTTCGTAACTATGGGTTTATGCTGCTTGTGTAAAATATGGTGTTTGCATGATGTCCAAATCACATAACAGCCTGTTTCACAGAACACACTGTGGATGTTAGACAACACATGACTGTATTCCTTTTTTTATTTTGCCCATAATCATGTTAAGTAGATGTTAAATAAAGCCAATACTTCGGTTATAATTAAACACATAAAGACCTAATTTTAATACATAGCTGTAATCTGTTTATTAATAATAATTTCAGAAATTACTGGACATTATAGTTACTTTTTATGAGTTCTGGCAATTCACTTTGATAAATAAAACATCATTATTTCTAGCATGCCATGCTCTGATTAAAAATTTAGTAACAATTTGCATTTTAGCCTTTCTTTCAAAGAAGAAAATATGGTTAGGCACACAACTTTAGGTAAAACCTCAGCAGCTGCTCTGGGGTCGGGGGGGCGACCCTTTTCACTTACTATCAGGATGACAATAGCAACAATAATTCACTGAATGCTTATGTATGCCAGGCACTGTCCTAGGCCTTCTACATTATCTCACTGAAAATTCACAACCAGAGCACTAAGGATTATTAACCCACTTACAAATGAGAACACTGAGGTGCAGGGAGGTTGAGTTGTGTGCCCAAGTCACACAACTCTAAGTGTAAGGTCCAGGAGGCAGAGCTGGTGCTGTTAACTGCTCCCTTCTCAACATGCAGCTAACTGAAGCTTGTGGAATATCCTACCATCGGAGCCGTGGCTGTAGAGCAGTGTATCAGCATCGCTTTTTATTTTTTCACAGGCTAAATAAGGTAGCTCGTAGTTGTTATTTTCTGTTCAAAGAATTACTAGTAAAAATACAGTTAGAGTCTGGGCTGGATATCTATGATGACTTAAAGATTATTTGTGGGAGTTCAGAAATGTTTCATGGATAAAACCTGAAACAGTCAACAAAAAGACTCAGAAATCGGCTTCTTCCATTTCATTCAGCTAATTCCTTCAGTAGCACGTGCGCCTCCTTCTTGGTCTGCCTTCATTAACTTTAAAAATTGAAACATTTCTTTAAAGTAGCTGGTAAATATTGTCCAATGTTTGAAAAAAGACACAAGCGTTTTTGTAGGCTCAGCATAAAAATGAGAACCATAGACTCTAACATATTATAACAAAATACCCAATGTTAGCTAATGTCTGAAGCGAAGGAAAAATAACAAATTCCCAAATTAGGGTTCTTGTCATATACTTGTGGTAGAATATGGTTGCTTGTTAAGACTTTATATAGAATAAATAACATAGTGGTTTAGAGTTGGGCGGTGAAGTCAGCTGGCCTGGATAAATCTTTGGACTCTAGGATTTACTGGCTAGGTGGCCATAAGCAAGTTACTTAACTTCTCTAAGCCTGTTTTCTCAACTGGAGAGGGGAGAGTTGTTACGAAGATGGTGCCTGAGATATAAAAATATATTTCAAGTGTCACCCTACACATATTGTCTGACATCAGGTTCTTGCTGTAAAATTCAGATTCACTTGTGGAACTTTGAAAATCTTTCTTAGTTAATCATGGGCATTAGTGATTTGAACTAAGATAAATAAAAACACTTAAGAAAACAAAAAGTAACTTTACTTAAAAAAAATTGTAAATTGGTCTTAACAGATTTTGGCTGCAGCGATGCCCTGTGGGGCACGGCTGAGTAAGAAGAGAAATGGGGGTGGGGCAGGCAAGGAAGGACCAGAAGTGACAGCCTCAATGAAGCTGAAGATCTCTTAGTGCTGAGAAGTATAGTGGGAGAAAGACAGTAAGAGCTACAAACTCTTTTTTTGGATGATAATTTGCCCAAAATGGAGATAAGTTTACAGCTACTCTATACTCACCTTAATAGAAAAAGAATACATTATAATCATTTACAAATAGAACCGTGTGTTTGTCCAAGTAAAAAGTTTAATACTAAACTGCTTTACAGTATAAGATTATTAGAGTAGAAGAGAGTGTTAGATAATCTAAATACTGGAAACATCTGAAAAATTTAATTGCTCTAGATTGCTTTAAAATGGTCATTTGATTTTAGAAATTACTACATTAAAAATTGTGCACAGGGCAGAGTGAGCACCCACTGGGTTGCAAATGACCAGAGAGTGATGTCCAGCTGCTCATGCCCAAGTTACAGGGCCACGGAAGCTTTAGAGTAAAGCAAGCAGATTAAAAAATTACTTTGTCAGAAGCTATATAAGATTGTGAGAATCTCATAACATTTTGTCCCCAAAGTTCGTTCACCACTGAGCAGAAGATACTGAAGATCTACAGGCCAGGAGCAAAGGGAAGAAGATAACAATGGATCTTTTCAGGAGAGCTGCCGCATCACATCACCTTCTCTTCTGTTTCTGCAGATGGTGTGAAAAGAAATCCTGACAAGTGATTCTGCCACAGTCCTATCTGCAGATCATCAAGGATTTCTTAGTAAATAACACAACTCCATGTATTGTTATTATTGCATCTTACCTTTTTGTCACCATTTTAAAGAAAATGATGTGTACATTATAAATTCTGATTTTTTCAGTGTATGAATTAACAAGGAAAATGTATTTGAGGTGTTTCTGTATAAACAGGATTTTTCGAACACATTTCATTTTCAGAAAGGTATATGTTATCTATATGTACAAAATGACAGATAATTGAAGATAATGCTTCAATTCATACCCATGGTATTCTTTTTGCTAAAATAAACCATTTTCTAAAACGTCTGCTTTAAAACTTGTTTATTTCTTAATATACCTTATCTTCCATATTACATACCATATCCTCTGTGCTAAAACATTTTTTCTGAGGTGGGGAATTATCACACTCCAGAAATATCATTAATCTGTAACAGGACCAGCTCCCAGGCATTCTGGATAAATGATCTTCTCTACCTGATATGTTTATGAAATATACAAAATATTTATAATACATACAAAGGCACTGCATTATATCAAACTGCTGAAATGTATAAAATTATTAGTGTTAAACCGAGAAGCTCCTATAACATATTTTTTACAGCGTAAGACAAGAGCACATGTAAATACAACATTCAGTCTGACAGGAAAAGTGACGTATTTTAAACACTACTACAGTAACATTTGAATTTATTTCACTTGACTTAGTGATAGACTGACGGCAAGCATTTACTTTTTGCATTGACATAACTGTGAAAACAATGTTTGACCACCGTTCCCATGCACTTATGGTGTGATTATCTCCAAACAGCAAAATTTGTGAATTTTGAGCTTTGTTCCCTGGTTTTTAGTTTATTAGACTGAATTATAAATTGCACTATTAGAAATTAAGTTAAAAGAGCATTTTAAACATTTTTACCAATTGTTATACATTTTCACAAGTCCATCCTCTTGTATTTTTGTTGTAAAATAAACTTCTGGAGTACTTCACAATTCAGAGGTCAAAAAAATTAATCATAACATATACTTTTTCAAAAGTCCAGTGTTTTATTATCAGCATTAACAAGTTATTCATACTGAAGAGTCAGGGATAAAATAATGGACAAAAGCAACACCACGCAGGTGCATCATAAAAATACCGGAATATTATGCTAATTATTGGACTAGAAAAATATAAAAGGTGGAATTACATCAATCATTTTATGCTTAATCTTTCTGAACATACTTTTTGTATTAAATGTACAGCAAGACGTATACTGATTTAAAGATTCTTCGTTTTTCTTTAGCAACCAAAACACGCTTATCCTTGGTTAATCAGAATTAATTCCAAAAGACAGAACTTCTTAGAGGTAAGTACGGCATTTAGTACTTTACACCTATACCCTTGTTGGACTGGCTGTTTGATGATCGCTCTCGTTCTTTAGTAATTTCCATCTCAATTTTGGCTTTGATTTTCTCCCAATCTATTTGGAGCTGTAATGGAAGAAGAAACCTGTTTATATAGTATAAGACATTTTTGTTTAATTTGAAATAACCAAGAGTAAACAAAAATAGCATCTGTGACTTCCACAACATTAGAGGAAAAGATGCATCAAAGAAATACAGATTGATAAATAATGCTGAAAAAAATATGAAGTAGCTTTAAGAATAAGACCAAACAGAAGCATTATTACCTCAGTAAAAAGCAAACACTCTCATTGTGATTCAAAGGAGCAGACCTAGCTTAGCTGTTTATAAAAGGCACATCTGAACAGTCCCTGGAGCCTTAAGGAGCCCTGGCAGCACAGTGGTTCAGCGCTTGGCTGCTAACTGGAAGGTCAGCAGTTGGAACTCAACAGCTTCTCCGTCGGAGAAAGATGTGGCAGTCTGCTTCTGTAAAGATGACAGCCTTGGAAACCCTATGGGGCAGTTCTACTCAGTCCTATAGGGTCGCTATGAATCAGAATCGACTCGATGGCAGCGGATTTGGTTTGGTTCTGGAGCCTTAGGACTCTGCACAGGTGCCTCAGGCACAAGGGGAGGAGGGTGGGCAGCTCTCCTCCAAACAGGAGGAAAAAAGGACAGGGCTCTGGCCACCAGGCATAGTTTCAGTTAGGCCAGCTCTTCACATCTTACATACTGAGGTTCCCATTAGAAGCCTACTTATGGGGAAAGAAGGAGGAACATTTGCTTCCCCTGAGTACATTCTGCAAAAGTGGCTCCTCTGCCAACAACTCTTAAGAATATAAAAACACAGTGGTTGCTAAGACAATGATGAAAAGATATTAGAGGGAGCAATCTGAAAGCAAGACTGGGAGACACATAAAAAAAGAAGAATTAACAAGTGATACTATTTTTATCTGTTTGCTTCCTTTGGATCCATGATGCTGATTCCCCCTCCCCTATTCCAGCCCTGCCTCTCCCCCAAGCTCCTTAGGCTTGATATTAAGAATGGACTCTGTCCCTGGGGTCTATGGACAATTTCTTTAGGGAAAAGCATTCTAGTATTTAAAAAAGTTTGGAGATGACTTATTTTAAAATGTGTGGCCTTTCTGAAGCAAGAAAGACATGGGAAAAACTGGGTTCTAGATTAAACTAACTCTGATTTACTATGAAATAAAACCAGATTCTCGAGACTGAGCAAAAAGTGACTAGGTTTGCACTTTCATGTAGGGAGTTAAGTAGAGTAAGTAGTGTTAAACCAGACTGAGGTGCTCCGTGCTGCTTGAGCATGTTTATCTTAAGTAACTGAGGCTGAATTTAGCCTTAACAGGACTTCATGCCTCTTTTATTTTGTGCTTGAAGTGATGGAATTAAGTATTTGGTTCTTTCTGCTTCCGTTATCCTAAATCTAAATTTCTGTCAAGTAATTTATTGTGGATATTGTTGATCACCTTTTTTTTCTCTAAGAAATTAAAATTCTTCCACGTATTTGTCTATTACATATGAAGTAGATGAATTAGGTGCATTCCTATTACTTACAGAAGATGATGTCTGTGCTAAGATGCAAGTGACAGCTCATTGAGAGGTCAGACTGTTTGAAAGACTCATTTTCAGTCAGGCTAGATGATATTTTTAGATGGCAAAACACTCATTTCCATATCTAACAAAACACTTGCAAAGAGGAAAAAAAAACTTGACGAATGCTTTGGCGTTCTTCCAGCTCTGAACTGACGTACGTGTTTCTCGAATCCATCACAACAGAACTATACATTGAGAGTGCACTGAACAAATGTTGCTCTGCTGCACCAGGAGTCCATCAGGTACACTGATGACATCTGAATTAGTCCCGTTACAATACACATGAAGGTGTCAGCTGACAGCTAGCCTACTGAAAATAAATGTTTCATTTTCACCATGGCATTTATCCGGTCTTAGAACAGGGTTCAACTGATAATTTGGTCCTTGGATTAGAGTATTTATAATAATGGTTTTAGATCAGAGGATGTTCTCATGACAGCTGACAAATGGCCTCTATATCAAAACCCACCCTTTTCCACTATATGGAGTGTCAATACTATTTGACACTTATTCTAGTCCCCACTCAATTCTTATTCACATAGAAGCAATTTTAAAATCGTACCAAATTGCTTTCCATCCTCTACCCCATCTTTCTCACTCTCAACTGAAAACCAACTTTCTACTTGACAGAGAATAGGATGGCCATTAGGCATCAATTCACTTCATTTTCCCTCCTTGCACCCACACACTTGCCTATATTTGTATCCATCCATCTTTATCTCTTTCCCTTCTGTCAGGCCAACCTCTTCACATGCCACTGATCCTGTCTTCTTCAATTCCTCTACAGCATCTGCTCCAATTATTACTTTACACATTCAGTTTCCTTCTCTTTCCTGGCTCCTTCTCATCATACTTACCCTGCATTCTGTCTCCCTGCAAGCTACCACACTCATTGTTCTTCACATTCCTGAGTCCATTCCACTGTCTCCTCAAGCCACTGTAATATGACTATCTTCCCACTGCACTTCAGAAACTTTTTACTAACGCCACCGTCAAATGTTTGCCTTGTCATCCTATATGCCTTCTCTGTATGATCCAACTGCTCGTTCATTCGGCCAATATTTATTTAGTGCTTCCTATAGGCCAAGGATTTTTCTAGGTGCAAGTCATCAGCAGTGAACAAAAACATAAAGACCACTGTCTTGATAGATACTAAACAGAGACATACAATAGTGGAAGAGGCAGATGATAAATAAAAATATATACAGTAGGGCAGAGTGGTAAGTGTTTTGGAAACAGGGTAGTGAGTGCTAGAGTTACGTATCAAAACAGGTGATCACAGTAGGCCTCCCTGAGAAGATGGCATTAAGACGTGAAGAAGATGAGGGAGTGAGCCTGAGGAAGAGCACGCTGAAGGAAGAACGAGGTCCCGAGGCAGCAGCATTCCCTGGACTGTGCTGACCACTGCTCTTCACAAAATTTCTCATATAATACCACCGTTGCCTGGTATCTGCCCTCCTTTCTAAATGGCCCTTTTCAGTCTACCCCCTCCCACAGATCCTTCTGCTGGACAACGTCTTAGCTATTAGTGTTCACCAGGGGTCCAGGCACAGCCTTCTCATGGGTTTCTTGGGAGATCTCATCAACTCACATAGCTTCAACTATGCCCAGATGGTCATGACCATAAATTTACTTACCTAGTCCTGATTTCTCCTTTATGAATATCCTGTGCTGTTCATATTTATAGTTACAATTGCCTACTAGGTGTCTCCACTGGATAACCCACAAGCATTTCCAACTCAAAAGGTCTAAAACTTGTATATTTTCATGTATTCCTTACCTAGATTAATAACATCCTCACCTACCAGCTGCCCAAACTAGAAATGTTGAAGGCATTCTCAAATGCCTTGCCTTGCCTGCCTTACCACCTCTCCTTCCACCCCAACCACAATGTTCTCTTGATTTTACTGCTGAATTTCTTCTTCCATTAGTCTTACTCTCTCCACCTCCCCATGTAACTATTACAGTAATGTCCTACCTGGTCTCCTAGTCATCACCCGCCCCTGCAATCAATCCTTCACATCTGGAGTTGTCTTTCAAGTCTTTCTCTTGATTGCAAACCTTCAAGTGATCTCATTGCCTTCATTATGAAGTCCACTCTCTTCACATGGTTTGAAGACCCTTAGAACTCTTCAATGTCTGGTCCCAACCAGTACTTCAACCACTGCTGACCTAGGACCCAGAGCAGTCACTCAGGACTCTTCCCTGTTCTTGCAATACCTCATGCATTTGCTCTTATTATCACATCATTTAACTGATAAAATTCTAGTCAAGAAAATTTCAGGGAAATTTTAAAATTTCCATTTATTTTTAGGAATCAGGATTTTAAAAGGGAAAACGGATCATGTTATTTCCCTTCAATGACTTCCCATCAGTCTTCGGATAAAGTCCAATATCCTTAATCTGCCCTATAACCCTCAAATCAATCTCCTGTTTGCTCTTTCTCTTTTCCACTTTAGTACCTTCCCTCTGCCTGGAACATGTCGATCCCTACCCTAGTCAGCTTCTTCTATTCATTCTTCAGAGCTCAGCTCAAATATAATTTGTTTTGCTTAGTCTTTGCTGATTCCTCCATCCTAGGTCAGGCCCCACATTCATGAAGTCTCAGAGCACTGTGTACCCCTCTTTCAAGGCACTTATCACAACTGAAATTAAGTAACAAATTATATAATTAACTCTGTCTCCTTGTTTTGAATATAAGCTTTGCGAGCCCAGGATCATCTTTACTACTCTATATCCCAAGGACCAACTAAAGAGTTGAATCTTCTTCAAAATTCTATACTTTCTAAAATTCTTCCCATGACTTTGACTTTTTTCCCTCTTTTCTTCTTTTTCCCAGCATAATGTTTTAAATGTTTTCTGGCTCTTCTACTTTTCGTCTTGCACAGAATGGGTTTTCAGTAGATTGAGTGTATTCTTTGAGTGGCTTCATTTGCCAGACTTACAATATATTTTAAAAATATTTACTGGACAGCCATTCAGGCCAGGTATAATGACTCTAAATAACAGTGTGCTTGGAAGACCTTGTATGAATCACAGATTGCCATATTTTATATTAAAAATGTCCAAGTAACATTTTAGGGCTCATAGACATGAATGAATAACAAACTTCTTACTTCTTTCTTTATAACTGGTAGGTTCCATTCACCAAAAAGTATAAAAATCCATTGCCATCAAGTCGATTCTGACTCATAGCAACCCTACAGAACTGCCCCATAGGGTTTCCAAGGCTATAAATCTTTATGGAAGCAGACTGCCACATCTTTCTCCTGCAGAGTGGCTCGTGGGTTCAAATCGCCGACCTTTCAGTTAACACCCAGCCAAGTGCTTAACCACTGTGCAACCAGGCTTCCTCCCAAAGAGTAGACATATAATATCTGTTGTCGTTAGGTGCCATAGAGTCAGTTCTGACTCATAGCGAACCAAAAGGACACAGTAGAACTGCCCCGCAGGGTTTCCAAGGAGCAGCTGGTGGATTTGAACTGCCAACCTTTTGGTTAGCAGCTGAGCTCTTAACCACTGCACCACAGGTACTTATAAACTTTCACATGTTATGTACTGGGAGTTCATTAGAATTCAGCAGAGATCCAGAATAAATTTCTTAATGTTATTTTTAAATAATCTTTTCCTACTCAACTCTAAGTTCTAAAATAAATAGTTTATATAATCACAATATTGGCAAAGACAGGTAAGTATGAATGATACATTATTAAATTTTAGCCCCAAATGAAACCAGAAGATTACCAAGCAAAGCAGACATCCCCAAAAGCTATTTTCCCAAGGTTAAATTTTATCTCAGTAGTAGGCAATTTTTAAGTAAAAAAAAAATTTTATTTTAAAATGCTGCTTTATGATTTCTATTCAACTGTCAAATTCCATTTACAAAGAAGAAAAAGTAGAAAACTAGAAAATAGTGCCATAGGGAGTCAAAACAACCTATGTTGTTTTGGTCATCCCACTCTGAAAATTTCTGCTATGCTTCTGAAACTAAAGTATTCCATTTTGGTAACAATTACATACATATATATAGTGAAAAAGAAGATTACAATGTTAAATGTTTACTATCTAAAATATAATTTCTTTGAGGGTAAGAACTGTATTTTCTATGTTCTCAAAAGTACCTAATATAAAAATACTCAAAAAATATTGATGACAATGAGAATGAAGAAGAATAGCATTAATATGATTAAAATTATACAATAAAGTACATTTAAGGTAGATGCTTACTGTCAATGCATGGCCATATTTTCAAAGCTGCAACAAAAATCAGGTGCGCTGATGACTCTTGGGGTTACTTACTGCCTCAGTGGTGGTGGCTGCTGTCACACTCTGGGAGTCAGGACGAAGCCTCAGAGGCCCCCGAGTTTGTCCTAGTGGCAGAGAAAGCCCTCCGACTACCAGAAGATTCACTTCAGCACTAACCAGGTTCCTAGTGAACACAGTTTGTGGAGCTTCTATAAAACATGTCCACTTTCTACCAAGAAATCTACTGCTGGTAACCATCCTGGATCCAGAAGTGGAAGGTGCACTGCTAAACTCTCAGAACGTCCCCAAAGGCCTCACCATCCTGAAAACTGTTCTGAGACCCAAACATGTAGGTGATGACACCGAGGATTCTAAATACGCTAGTGGATAATGTTGGCTTTAGCAGGAATTGTCGGCACCTTCTCCTGACCTTTTCTCTTCTTCCCAAGGATGGGTCAGAACATTCCTTTTATTCTATCCCTAAGGAGGGAGTCTATAAGCTCCACAAAGACAGAGGTCATATCTGGTTCATCTGAGTATTTTTTTGTTTTAATAAATGAATGAACAAAAGGCTAAGGAAACCAACTGGCTCACAGAGCTGGGACCAAGGCCTGTCCTGTCTTGGGATCACAGCTCTTGGGATTCTAGCCTCTTGGATCGCTATGGCCAGAGAGGTGAACTCTATTTCTGCTGTCTGAGCCTAAAATGATCTGGGCAGGTGGCCAGACTCAGTCCTGCTCTAAGCACTGGAGCAAATCTCTTGTTCTGGCTCTTCTCATGGGCTGATACATACTGGAATGACTTTCTTCTAATTGAAGTGATAGAATCTGAGACTCTAGCAGGAGCTTGGGGAGCAAAGGTTTGGACTTCTTTGGTTCTAGGCAGTGAAGCACACTATTATGGATTGAACTGTGTCCTCCCAAAATGTGTGTCAACTTGGCTAGGCCATGATTCCCAGTATTGTGTGGTTGTCCTCCATTTTGTGATCTGACATGATTATCCTATGTGTTGTAAATCCTAACCTCTATCATGTTAATGAGGCAGGACTTAATCTACAGGATTAGAATGTATCTTGAGTCAGTCTCTTCTGAGATATGAAAGAGAGAATTGAGCAGAGAAGTGGGACCTCCTACCACCAAGAAAGAAGAGCTGGGAGCAGAACACATCCTTTGGACCCAGGTTCCCTGTGCTGAGATGCTCCTAGACAGGGGAAGATGGATGACAAGGACCTTCCCCCAGAGCTGACAGAGGGAGAAAGCCTTCCCTGGAGCTGGCACCCTGAATTCGTACCTCTAGCCTCCTAGACTCTGAGAGAATAAATTTGTTTGTTAAAGCCATCCACTTGTGGTATTTCTGTTATAGCAGCACTAGATAACTAAGACAGAATTTGGTGCCAAGAGTGGGGTGCTGCTCTAACAGATACCAAAAACGTGGGAGTGTGAAACTGAAAAGGTAGAGGCTGAAGAGTTGCAAAGGGTCTAACAGTTAAAAGCCTAGATTAACTTGAAGAGACTACTGGTAGAATTATGGACAGCAAAGACAATTCTGGTGAGGGCTCAGAAGGAAGTGAGGAAAGCTCTAACACCAGAGACAGTGCAGACAGCGAGAAGCAGCAGCAGAGAAACGGCAGCAGCATAACCAGGAGACCAGCATGAGACGGCGGAGGAACCTACACAGAGCGGGAGAGCTGTGTGCCTTTGCGCAGGAGGTTTCCTGGCAGAGTAGGGTGCCTCCGGGCACTTATTGGCAGAGCTAAAGAGCTGTGTAACACTTGCCCGAGCAGGGAGGAGGCTGGGCCGGCCCAACAGGCCCAAGGGGCCGAGAGGCCAAGGAACCAGGAAGCAGAAGCTGAAGAGTCAAGGGGCATGGGAAGCAGAGCTGCCTCAGTCTCAAAGGGTGGGGCCACGGCCTCCTAGATTTCAAAGAGTCAGATCTCACCAACGTGGTTCCAGAATGTGGGGCTGCCATTCATGAGTGTCAGGAGGATGGGGCTGGATCTGCTCCCAAAGTTGAGGGGGTGGGGCTGCCATGCCCGAAGGGCAGAAGAATGGGGCCTGCTGGGGCTAAGGGGCTAGGGTCGTCACTCGGACTAGGAGAATGAGGCCGCCTAAATCTGAGGGAGCAGAGTTGCCGTCCCAGTGGGCCTGGAAGGCAGAGCTGAAGCCCAGGGCCAAGAGGCCTCCACCTAGAATCTGGAGTTTGGCCAACACCCAGAGTCTGGAGGGCAGGGCTGTTGTCTAGATGGTCTCAGAGAACAGAGGATTATTTTCAATGTGTTTTGTTGTAGTGTATTATGCTGACTTGCTTGGTGCCTGTTATCCTTTCTTTCCCTCCAATTTCTCCTATTTGCAATGGAAATGCCTACCTTGTGCCTGTTCTACCACTGTACTTTAGAAGTAGATAACGTGTATTCTAGATTTCACAGATGAAGAGGAATTTTGCCCCAGGGTGGAATTTGTACTTGGAATTGATTTAAGACTTGGGATGGTATGATGGGGTGAATGTGTTTTACATGTGACAAGGAAATGAATTTTGGGGGGCCAAAGGGTAGAATGTTATGGATTGAACTGTGTCCCCCCAAAATGTGTGTCAGCTTGGCTGGGCCATGATTCCTAGTGTGGTTGTCCTCCATTTTGTGATCCGATGTGATAAGCGTGTGTGTTGTAAATCCTAACCTCTATGATGTTAATGAGGCAGGATTAGAGGCAGTTATATTAATGAGGCAGGACTCAATCTACAGGACTAGATTGTATTTTGAGTCAATCTCTTCTGAAATATAAAAAGAATCGAGCAGAGAGGGAGAGGAACCTCATATCACCAAGAAAGAAGAGCCAAGAGCGGAATGTGTCCTTCGGACCTGGGGTTCCTATGCTTGAGAAACTCCTAGACCCGGGGAAACTGATGACAAAGACCTTCCCCCAGAGCCGACAGAGAAAGAAAGCCTTCCCTGGAGCTGGCACCCTGAATTTGGACTTCTAGCCTCCTAGACTGTGACAGAATAAATTTCTGTTTGTTAAAGCCATCCACTTGTGGTATTTCTGTTATAGCAGCACTAGATAACTAAGACATATACCTAGGCCAAGTATCTCTGCCAGGTGCAGCTAGCTCCCTAGAATTCTACACAGTCATGAAGTATCCATGTTCTGGTCAGTGCCTTCTGTGATTATATAATTCCCTTGGAACAGAAGGGACAGCTTGTGGAAGTCAAAACTCAGAAGTCGGAAGCCTTTATCCCAGCCATCTAGGAACAGCTGGAATAATTTATCCCAGACATTTATAAATTATTTATCTATAAATTTCAATTAGCACCCAAACTTAACATAAATTGAATGTTATGAAAACAGACTGGGGTTAGTCATAATATGGCTGTAAGACTGTAAAAAAAAAAAAAAAATTAGTATATAATCATAAGGCCACAACATCATATAGAGATGATGGAATGAACTGTTCTAAGTTTGTCTTGTTGAGTATTGTGTATATTCATAATAAAACATACACATTGTTATAAAATACTGTATAATACTTACACCTTCTGCATATTGCAAGTATCGTTTATTAGTTTCCTGTTTACCAAATGTCTCCAAAAACTTTTGACGGTAAGCAAGAACTGTATCCACATGTGTTTTATATTTTACAGCCAATTCAAGTGCCCTATAATAAGAAATAAAACAGATTATCAGCACTGCTGGTATCAGCCCCTATGGGCAGTACAGTTTTGGGGTGAGGAGGTGGGAGAGACAGTCTATGTTGTTCCCTCTACTCATCTCTCAGATGGAATGTCATTTCCTACCTTATCCATTCATCCTTTAAGGCCTAGATCAAGCATGACCCCTTCTTCCTGACCATCTCCCCTCATAGAAATAAATGACCATTATCTTATTCGTGTTCCACAGCATTTTATAATACTATTATCACAGCACTGCTTACAGTGTATTATACTTATTATTTATATATCTTTAGTCTCTCCACTAGCCTCTACATTTATTGAAGGGATATCTGGGTTTCATTTATCTCTGGTGAATAGATTTATCTTTGGTGAGTACAAATACAGTAAATGTTCATTGAAAAAAATTTTGAAATCATAATAAAATTCAAGTGAATGAACTTCCCCTAATGTATGTAAGTGGTTCAAATATCTGGACTATTTTTCTAAGTCTACAGTGAACTTACTCAGTTCAATACTCAGCTAAATAGAATTAAAAACTGGTTATCTTCAAATTATTACTACAGCAGATTGAAAATATTATGAAAATAACAATTCCAGGTAAATAAAATTCTGACAAAATGCCTTTTCCCATCTGATTGCTAGAAAAAAGGGTTAGTAGCTATTTAAATTTTATAATCCAATCAGATGATCTATTTATCTATGTAACTAAGTTTTATTTTATTTAAAATGCAAAGGAGAACTAAATGAATCACTGAAATCAAGGGTATAACATTAAAAACACAAAATCTATATATTAATAATAACTTGTAAGGAAATGAAAAGATTAACCCTCACTTGCAGGCTCACTTTCAGAAGGTAGGTTTCGGACAGTGTGTCAGCCATTGCAGTCCTGTGTATGACTCACACTAGTTGAGTCAGAACTTCAGACCCATGGAGTGTAGCTCTCCTACGCCGCTCACTGTCATCTTGTTTTAAATATGGGAAGTGGTTCCAGTAATAATCAAAGTATATTATTTTCTCTTGCATTCTAATGATTCATAACTTCTGAATATTCTAGTCATGATCTATCAAAGCCAACTATTATAAATTTGTTTCGGACAAGAGAATATATTAACCCAATGACTACATTTTTTGTAACTTCTGACTCTTCGGTAGGAAAATCTGGTTCATTCTTAACATACTTTGATTTGCCTTACTATTGACCTATATAAAATAATCACTTTAAAAAGTATTTTAGATATGCTGTGTGTATTGTCTAGGGTTGCTATAAGGTTGAAATCGACTCGACAGCAATGGGTTTTGTGTGTATTGTAAGCACATATTAGACTATTGAGGGAGATATTAAGACTTAAGCTCCTCAAAACTTTGTTTTTGATTTGTATGAAAACATTATGAATGTAAGTCCTATATAATACAAACAGTAATTTTAAAATAAGGAGCTGTGGTGACACAGTGGTTAAGCGCTCAGCTGTTAACCAAAAGGCTGGCAGTTCATATCTACCAGCTGCTCCACAGAAGAAAGATGTGGGAATCTGCTTCCGTAAAGATTATAGCCTTGGAAACCCTATGGGGCAGGCCTGCTCTATCCTATACAGTAGCTATGAGTCAGAATCGACTCAATGGCATACAACAACAACACCAAAATCAGGCAAAATGCTTTCTTATGAAAATATATCAGCACATGCCATATTGCTAAATCCAAGAGTCAATATTTTGCTATCCATCACACAGTCTCACAACATTTCTTCTACCCTCTGTGACTTTAAGTCTTTCAGAGAAAAAGGAGACAGGCAGAAAGGAATGTAAAGGTGTTGGAATATGCAGGAATAAAAGTGGTAAATAAAAAAAGGCAACAAGCAATTCCCATGACCTCAGAAGAGGAGGAATGGAGTCAAAGATGCCCTAATCCTTCTAATCCTCTCCCCTATCATTCTCCTGTATGTCCCTAAACAGGGAAACGTAGTCAAAGATGCCTCAATCCTTCTAACCCTCTCCCATATCATTCCCCTGTATGTCCCTAAAGAGGAGAAGTGGAGTCAAAGATGCCCTAATCCTTCTAATCCTCTCCTGCATCATTCCCCTGTATGTCCCTAAAGAGGAGGAATGGAGTCAAAGATGCCCTAATCCTTCTAACCCTCTCCCGTATCACTCTCCTGTATGTCCCTAAAGAGGAGAAATGGAGTCAAAGATGCCTCAGTCCTTCTAACCCTCTCCCGTATCATTCCCCTGCGTGCCCCTAAAGTTCCAAATCCGGTGGTGTATGTGAGTAAAGACTGGTGAACCACCCCTTTGGAACTTTGTTGTTTTTGTTTTACGCCGTCGAGTCAATTCCAACTCACAGTGACCCTATATGACAGAGCAGAACCATCCCATAATAATAATGATAGATAACATCATTATCTATCCTAGGCTGAACTCTTTACGGGAGCAGATTGCCAAGTCTTTTCTCCCGCAGAGCCGCTGGTGGGTTTGAACTGCTGACTTTTCGGTGAGCAGCTGAGCACTTAACCATTTCGCCACCAGGGCCCCTTTTTGGCACTTCAGAGGTTCCAATTCCCACTGTTTCTTTATGATTGTACCTGGTGGAGGAAGGAGTTCTTGACTGCCCAAAACTGGAAGCAGTGTTCTAAGGAGGGATAACACAGCATCCATTCCGGGTTGGGGCTTTTTAAAACATTCCAAAGACTACTGAAGTATTATCTGTCACTATTATTATCATAAAATATGTTATTAATTATATGACTGAAGGGCAAACATTAAACTAAAAGTAAACATTCAAACGGTATGTGCTATTTTAAATGTTCTCTAAAAGCACGCACTGGGTAAAAAAAGTTTTCTTACCACATTTAGGAGGGAACTCATTCCGAATTATATAAGGGTTATGGGAACAATAGGTCTTTAGTTTTAAAATGGTTATTTGGCAACCAAAGAAATGTGACATTAGATTCTGGGCCTGGAATACGTCCGTGTATCTTCTCTGATTTTAAACAGAAGGAAGTTATATAAAAAAGATATTATAACTTCAAAATACGATCCTTTGAATAACCTGAACAAACCAAAATCACTTTGTATAACTAGTAGAATATCAGAAATTATTTTTATTAATACTTACATAAAGGAGTCCCTGGGGGGTGCAAATGGTTAATGTCCTTGGCTGCTAATCAAAAGGTAGGAGGTTTGAGTCCACCCAGAGGTGCCTCAGAAGAAAGGCCTGGTGATCTACTTTCAAACAATCAGCCACTGAAAACCCTACGGAGCACAGCTCTACTCTGACACACATGGGCTGCCATGAATCGCAATCACTCAACAGCAACTGGTCCCACTGCTAAGAGAATCAGCATGCACACCTGGAGCTTCTAATTTCTACCTCTTCTTAACTTCAGTGTTTGAGAGGCAACTACCACCAAAATGTCCAAAATAAACGTCAAGCAGATAACTTGTGTACCTACAATTCTTCAACGACCGTATCTTACTAGGTTTCATATGCAATTTTCAAATTCAAATATGAATGACAGAAGCACAAACCAGCAATACTGTGCTTCTCAAATGGAAAAACATGTATTAACAAAATAAAATCTGTTCCTTCTAGATGATTTAAGCAAATACAGAAATTCAGGAATCTTAAAACTAATCTATTCATCATACAATCTTTACTTTCCATCCTTCTGGAATATAGAATTAGAATATCAGCATTTTGCAATCCCTGATTAACTAACAGTCTAGACGACAACCATCAATGGCTGCCATCATCACAGAAGATGGGGAACCAGTCATCACGTCCTCTTGTTGGAAATACAGCGCAGCTTTGATGGAGTCTCACCAAAATAAATGAATCAGTCTAAACCTAATCAAGCCTCTAGATCTAACAACTGATTTTCACTGAATTCATCGACAGAGGAACGTGTTATATGATACCACAAAGATGCAGTCAATAAAGTCCAGACTATGGGAAATTTACAGGTCCAGTTTCTTCAACGGAAAAATTGCAAGAAAAAAAAAACAAAAAAGAAATAGGAGAACCTATACATTAAAAGAAACTTAAGCACATGTCACCAATCACAAGACATGGATCTTTTTTGGATCCTGATTCAAACAAAAGAAAATATTTACGAGACCAAACAAAAAATCAAACCCGTTGCCGTCAAGTCGATTCCAACTCATAGTGACCTTATAGGACAGAGTAGAACTGCCCCATAGGGTTTCCAAGGAGCAGGTGGTGGATTTGAACTGCTGAACTTTTGGTTAGCAGCTGAGCTCTTAACCACTGCACCACCAGGGCTCCATTTAGGAGACATTCATAAAAATAAGAACACTGAGTAGAATTATTAATTTTTAAAGATATGATCATGGTATTGTGGCTATGTGAAAAATTTTTCTAGAAATACACACTGAAATATTTACAGATAAAATGACATGATGTGTGGGATCTGCTTCAAAATAAATGGTGGGAAAGGGGAGGAGGGGAAAGAGAGAGATTATCCAGAAATTAGTAATTGTTGAGGCTGGTTGATTGTGGGGGGATTCATTACACTATTCTCTCTACTTTGATATGTGTTTGAAATTTTCTATAATAAACAGTTTTAAAAATTCCCATCTTTTTTGGTCCCTCCTGATCTCCTTAGCTGGATCCTCTTCTTAAACCAGATCCTTAAATCTTAGTAGTCAGTAGAGATTTGTCTGCTCAATAAATGTCTGTGGACTGAATACTACGTATATAAAGAACACATATCATGACCATTTACATATATGATAAATTGTACCAAGATCACATCTTTTTTAAATGAAAATAGTTTTATTCAAAACTACATATTTTATCTCATTTTTAAAATAACAGAAAAATATTTCTTATAAAAGGTAGTTACTTGAACCGATGATAAGCACAATATGCAAAATGGTTTTAAAACCATTCAAAAAAGCATTTATGAAACACTTAGGATGGAAGCACTTGACTTTAATAAATAAAAAAGACCAAGAAAGGCAGCAAAACTAATTCCCACATTAGGATTTATTTCTCCCTATACTTCCTAATTTTGGGGCAAGATGTTCTGACCCTCGAGCAGTTGCACATACTGCATTTCCTTTGTACTCAACTGTTGCCTTGTTGGGGGCGGTTCTTAAAGATAAAAATGCATCCAAAGCTGGAAAAACTTTAATCAGATCCTTTAAAACTTTCTACATATGCTGGGTGCCCTTAATTTAGAATAACGTTTTTATCCTATACATACACAAAAGTCAAGTGACCTATCAGAAACTGAACAAAAAAAAGATAGGCCAATGAAAAAATACCTCTGAATCATGGGATGAGGGAGACAAACACAAGGACTACAGTGGGTGAGAGGTGAGAGGGAAAAAAGACTCAAGGCACAGCTGGAGGTGCTTAAACAGAAGAGGAGACAATCAGGGCAGAAAGATCAAACAAGCACTTAAGGGTAGCCCAAAAGATCAGACTAGAGATAAGAACTGGGAAGTTAAAGAGACTCAAGTGGAAAAGAAGAAGATGATGCTTCAGATTTTGAAAGCGAGGAAAAAGGAAAGGAAATGGAGAAATTGAGCAGCAAGGGAGCAATTTAGAGATTAAACAAAGAACCAAACCCACTGCCATCAAGTCCATTCCGATTCATAGTGACCCTACAGGACAGAGTAGAACTGCCCCATAGGGTTTCCAAGGCTGTAATCTTTATGGAAGCCGACTGCCATATCTTTCTCCTGAGGAGTGGCTGGTCGGTTCAAACTGCCACCCTTTTGGTTAGCAGCCAAGCACTTAAACCACTGCACCACCAAAAAACCAAAACCCATTGCTGTCAAGTCGATTCTGACTTATAGAGATTTGAGATTTTAAAAGCCCAGGACCAATAACAAAGGGGTTGAGTTATTCCTCAATTCCCGAAAAGAAATGAAGCCATACTTAGAATAGGCTAGGAGGGATAGAGATTAAAATTATAGGCAGATTAACTCATATCCTTAGCAAATATTTATTATAAACATTTACTAATATGCCAGGGATAGATGAATCAACCACTAGTAAATTTTTCATATCCAGAGGGCAATTGCTTCCAAGGTGGTTTGCCTAAAGGACCTAACATCTGAATCTACTTACTTCATAGTGAACTATATCCTACCTATGGCATCTCTTGTATAGTCTTGAATTGTATTTAAATTTTCATCCATCCATAAATCAATTCATTCAGAAATACTGAGCATCTACTATGTATGTTGTTGTCAGCTGCCCTCCAGTCAACCCCCAACTCATGGCAACCCCAGGCACAACAGAACTGGACCACTGTGATCCATGGAGTTCTCTCATTGGCCAATTTTCAGAAGTAGCTTGCCAGACCTTTCTTTCTAGTCCATCTTGGTCTGGAAGCTCCACTTAAACATGTTCAGCATCATAGCAACATGCAAACCTCCACTGACAGATGGGTGGTAGTTGCACATGAGGTTCACTGGCCAGGAATCGAACCTGGGTCTCCTGTATAGAAGGAGAGAGTTCTACCACTGAACCACCACTGCCCTCCCTGCTGTGTACATCAAACCAAAGAAACCAAACTTATTTCCTTCGAGTCAATTCTGACTCACAGTGACCCTACAGATATTACAACATATCTCTAAACTTTGAGGAGCTACAAATGTAGAAGGGAAAAAATTGACTAAATTGCCGTTGAGTCAATTCCAACTAACGGCAACCCTGACAAGCAGAACTGCCCCATAGGGTTTCCAAGGCTGTAATCTTTATGGAAGCACACTGTGACGTCTTTCTTCCATGGAGCAGGTGGTGCGTTGAAACCGCTGACCTTCAAGTTAGCAGCCAATGCTTAACCACTGCACCACCAGGGCTCCTTTAGAAGGGGAAAGACACATAAATATCTGAAAAGACAAATAATGGAAGGGATAAAAAGAATTCATTAAAAGAATATAAGTAATGCTACATGTAGTACATCTTTAATTGCCATATGTACATTGCTGATTATAACTACTGCCATCAGCACTGCTTGGGAGAGGTTAGCTTCAAGTGCGTCTTAAAGGATGGGTAGAATGCGACTCACTTTCACTAACACATAGGAGACATCCAACAAATGTCTGGAGACAAAGAACACTGCAAAGTGATTAAGAGCATGAATATTAAGTACCTACTATGGACTCGACTATGAATCGACTCGATGGCAACAGGTTTATGTACAGCTCGACTAGATGGATTCACACAGTGGTTGCAACAATGGGTTCAAGCATAACAATTGTGAGGATGGTGCAGGACCGGGCAGTGTTTCGTTCTGTTGTACACGGGGTCACTATGAGTCAGAACCGACTCGGCGGCACCTAATAACAATAGCAACTATGTACAGACGAGATAAGATGTTTCTGTCCCTCGCAGGGTTTATGACATGAAAGGGGAAAGATGACGTAACTATCTGCAAAGGTAAATAATGAAAGAGATTAACAACAATTCAATTAATTCAAATTAATTGCTTGTGGACACTAGTGAATTCAGGTCCTGTTTGATACTAGAAGGGGCCCTTGTGGTGCAGTGGTTAAGCACTCAGCTGCTAACCAAAAGGTCAGCAGTTTCAATCCACCAGCTGCTCCTTGGAAACCCTATGGGGCAGTTCTACTCTTTCCTATAGGGTCTCTATGAGTTGGAATCAACTCGACGGCAACAAGTTTTTTTCAGGTTTGATACTAGAAGACTTGAGGTTAAAGTCCCACATCTGCCACTTACTCAACTTTTCTGAGCCTCAATTTCCTTATTTGTAAAATGGAGATGGTAATACCTAACCTCAAAGAATTTCTGTGATGACTAAATGAGATGATAAATGGCAAGTATTTATCATAATTCCTGGCACATAATAAGCCCTCAATAAAAGGAGTCTTTACTATTATTAGTGGCAATAAAGTGGAATTCCTAGCTTGTAAGCTTTTTAAGGACCATTAAAAATTTGTTATATTGTACAGTGTTCAAAGTGCTATACAAATATTAGTATCTAACATTTATCAACATAAATATTCTCTCAAAAATCCTGGTTGAAAGGATATTGTAAACACTACTCTTCCCATTTCCCATAGAACTTTATAGCTTGGATGGTATATACAATTTTATATTAGTTATTGAAAACAGAGTTTTAAAAATATTCATATTCTGTCTCTTTCCAAAACAGTTATCTTAACTCTTACAAATTATGAATAAATCGAGGACAAAGGACAATGGTTTATTCATCTTTGTACAGTTATAAACATCTTTCAGGATCCTGTGAACAGCTAAACAATGATCATAATGAATTTGTATAAACAAAGGACAGAAACAGTGGCTAAATTTTATGAATAATATAATTAGCACATAAATTAAATAGACTCTAGTATTCAATCACATAATTCACCATCTTCCATTTTTGTTACTTCTTTTCAAGGGAAAGATAGAGACAGGGTATCTACAGAAACTCTAATCTAAGGGAGTTATAAGTCGGGGTCCTTGTAATTGAAATAGATATGGGATAATTTTTAAGCCCAGAAACAAAGAAAGAACATGGAAGACGTATACCAATTTCACAGCATAGTAACTTCAGGAGTCTCTAAGCACTGGAACCTTGTTCACCGAAAGACACATCTCTGCGAGAATGAGTGGAGGAACCTAATCCGTCATAAAGAAGAGAGAGCAGCCTGCCCTTGTCTCAGAAAGCAATCAGCCCCAAAGCCTAATGCAGGGCTTGGAAGGTTCCCGCTGACCACTGCTTCCTAAAAACCCTTCCTCCTTCCTCTTAGCATCGCAAATCTCCCCTGGCTCTTCTTTCTCTGCCTGTCTGCCTGTTCCTTCCCAGTCTTCCTGTGTATTTCTCCTTTCATCCGTTCCACAAATGGAGTTGATATCTTCTCATTCTACACAGTCCCCAGGCACTTGCGTCCATTCTTCTGGTTTCAACTACCACCATTTGCTGATGACTCCTAAATCTGCATCTCCAGTTCAACCTTTCTCATGAGTTCCACTGAAACAAGTACTACCGCATAGCTCTTCACAAATATTTCAAATTCGGGATGGCTAAAACCGCGCTCACTATCTTCCCTACCAAATCTGCTGATGGTACCATCATTTACAAGTTCCTCAAATTAGAAATTTGGGAAATATCCTAGGTTCTCTTTTCTTCTTCACACTCCTGAATGCTAAGCAATCCCAAGGCCAGAGAAGACATAAGTCTTTAATGGCAAACTGCTCACAAATATAAATGTGAATAAAGTCTTCTGTATTAGGAGACTATTAAGTACAGCGAAAAATGTAATTTACTAAACGGCAGGTAGAGGAATACACTAAGGTCAATCAGATTTTAAAATTGATAAAAAGTGTTTTTATTACCTTTCCCAGTTGTAGAGATTAATATTGATCTGGATTGCTTGATAAACAAGGCCAGCCTGAAGAAGTACTATTTCAGCCTCCTGTATGTTCCCACTAAACATTAGTATGTGGGCCATTTTTGATTCTTTAGATGGAAGATTTTTTATAGAATTGATGTAATGAACTTTGTCAATCTAAATAAAGAAAATAAGAAATATTTGAAGTGGATAGTGATAGGAATATAAAAAATTATGGTAAGAAACACACACGTACACACACGCACACATACGTAAACATGCACAAACACATGCGTACGTACATGTAAACATACGCACACATGAAAACACACACACGTGTAAACACATGCACATGTAAGCGCACACGTGTAAACACACACATGCACACACATATGCAAACACACACGTAGACATGCAGCGCACATATGTAAACACGTACACATGTAAACATATGCACACACATGAAAACATACATATGTAAACACACGTACACATGTGTAAACATGCACATGTAAGCACACACGTGTAAGCACACACGTGTAAACACACGTAGACATGCAGCACACATGTAAGCACACACGTAAACACGTACACATACGCAAACACGCACACGTAAACACGTACACATGTAAACACACGTACACACATGTAAACACACGTACACATATGTAAACACATACACATATGTAAACACACACGTACACATGTAAACACACACACGTAAACTTTCTTTACTTACTTCACCAATTGCTGCGTAGGCTATCTCTGCAGTAGTCATATCTCTGTTAGCAACTGACATGGCAGCTAAGCACGCCCACATGGTTTGTTCCTAAGGTTAAATTTAAGAACAATGATCTCAACTATATGGCTACATTGCCTTAAAATAAACAATGATTTAAATACTCAAAATAAAATTATAAAGAGCCCTCAGCTCTTAAGCATTCAGCTGCTAACTGAAAGGTTGGTGTTTGAATCATCCAGTGGCTCCCTAGGAGGAAGATGTGGAGATCTGCTCCCATAAAGATTACAGCCTAGAAATTCCTATGGGGCAGTTCTACTCTGTCAGATGGGGTCACTGTGAGTTGAAATCAATTCAACGCCACCTAAAAACAACACTAAAATTATATTTTAATTAAAAGAAATTACTGAGCGTGGTACTGAAAAAAATAATTTAATAAGTTAATGATATGGAAAGTTCATTGTGGCCACTTTGTTAAAACATATTAATACGCAGAGAACTTACTTTGAATAAAACTTTCTGAAGTTTTTCATATCAAATTATCAAAGATACATTTTTGAACTTAAAACAACTCAAGGCTATAAACCCTCCAGTCTTTTTGGTGAGGTGTCAAAGAATACAACTTACAGGAAATCAGGAGAATAATGAGGTTCTCTGACAACACTATTCTGGCAGACTGCCGCCAATAACCCAGCGAAAGAAAATGCGTCTAAAAGTAATTTCACAAAGGGGTATTCTAAGGTATGTAACTGGTGTTCAGTAAAAGAATTCTGTGCGCAAACATGTTTGGAAAATACTGGATTCAACTAAGTTGGGAAATGCTTATCTAAAGCAGAGGTTCTTCACTCTAGTTGTGCAAAAGAATCATCCAAGAAACCAAAAAAATATGCCGAGGCCTCACCCCAGATCTAATGAATCAGAATTTCTGTGGGGGTGGACCTTGGGAACCTGACTTTTGAAAAGCTCCACAGAGGATTTTTATATGTGCCAGTAAGGAGTAATTGTTGTATGCCTTCGAATTGATTCTGACTCATAACAACCCTAAATGACAGAACACAACTGCCCCATAGGGTTTCCTAGGCTGTAATCTTTA